TTTTTTTCTCTTTTTTTTTTCTGAATCAACATTTCACAAATTATATATTTAATGGGTCAGAAAAGGAAAAAAAGATAAAGAAGTAAACTGTTTTGCACTTTTTGTTTGAAAAAAAATAAAAGAAAAAAAAAACGACAACTACTTTTGGTGAAAATTTTTGTCAACAAATTCTATGGATAATAAGGAACACTCTGTTGGGTAAAAAATGGAATATTTTTGAGAAAAAAAATACAGAGGAAAAGCAAAGAAATAAATACGTAATATTTAAAAATAAATGAATAGCACAAGTTTTTTTTTCTTTTTCTTTTGCTTGCTGTAGGTGTATACAAGTTTAATAAAGTGTTAAGTGATAAAATAGAATAAGTTTAAAAGTCAAAAATGAAAATCTGACTCAGTTTTTTTCTTTTTTTTTTTTATGTAAATGCCCAAATGTCGAAGGGAAAACGACGAAGGTGACGGAGGGTAAAAGGGGAGGTGAGAGGGAGATGTGAACGGAGAAGGACAGTAGGAAGCAAATATCAATCAGCTTTTATCCATAATGACAGTGTTTGCTGTAATGATCTCTCGTTAAATGTGTGTGTGTGTGTGTGTTTGTGTCTGTATATAATCTATTAATGCATGCGGGTGTTTGTGTTTCAGTAAGTCTTAATCATCTGTAAAGTTAACGTTACTATTAATAACGACTAATGAGATCAAACTAACCAACAACAGCAGACAATTTTTTTTTCTACTTATTTTAGAATGAATCTCGTGAGCTAAAAAAAATTGCTCCCGGAACAGAAGCTGCCGTTATACTGATTGGACAGTTAACAATTTTGGATCGACCAGTATGTGCGTTGGTTCGACTGGAAAAACCAACGGTAAAAATGTTAACACAGAACCAAAAAAAAAAATTTTTTTCAGCATTTTCAAATTAATTTCTAAACTGATATCAACATTTGAATGCTTCTAAACCAATAGATCAAATTTTTTGACAGTTGAATGACAACCAGTTTCAATAATTTATCACATAAATAAATAAATAAACAAATAATTGAATATACAAATAAATATAGATATATAAGCAGTTATTTTTAGCTAATGTATCCAGAAATTCCAAATATACCTCTACCAGTCAGATTTGCGTTTGTTTTATTAAATCCTCATGAACATTTTTCTAATGAAACTGTTAACATTGGACGTACTATGGGTGCATTATTCGCTGATGAAGTAAGCAAAACAAAATATTATTTAACAATTTATCATAAAAAATTATTTCTTTTAACAATAATATGTCAAACAAAATATTTTTTTTTACCTGATATTTTTGAAAAAATTTTAATAATTTCTTTCAAAAAAGATGAAGTAAAAAAAATTAACAGATTCTCTGAATAATATCATTGTTATCGTTAGAAAATGTTTATATTTTAAACAAAATTTTTACAGATCTTTAGAAAAATTGCTGTATGTTCATTAGAGCCTTTCACTATTGCTGATGCCGTTGATGAATTCTTTGCTCAACTTGTTGCTGTACCACCCGGTAACTGCAGCACTGA